AAATGACCCATCCACTACCACTCCCTTGATGCAGCCCTCCAGTTGGTTGGCGACCCATTTGACTGTGTGGGTGTCGACACCACAGTCCCCCATTTTCTTAATGAGAACGGGGTGAGAGACAGTGCCGAACGCCTTCCAAAATTCCAGGAAGACTCTGTCCACTGCTACCCCTGCATCTAAGGATTTGGTGATCTGGTGATAGAAGGCCACCAGGTTGGTCTGACAGGACCTGCCTCTAATGAACCTGTGTTGGTTGCCCCTAAGCATAATTTCCCCTCATGGCCCCTCGTGGATATGCGCTAGAATAATTTTCTCAAAAACTTTGCCCAGGATCAAGGTAAGACTAACTGGCCTATAGTTTCTCAGGTCCTTCTTCTTCCCCTTTTTGAAGATGGGAACCACACTGGCCCTCTTCCAGTCCTCTGGCACCACTCCAGAGCACCACGAGTGCTTGTAAAGCCGTGCCAGGGGTCCTGCAATGACCTCAGCCAATTCCCTCAGTACTCTAGGGTGGAGATTGTCCGGACCAGCTGACTTGAATGCATCCAGTCCCTCCAGAAGTTCTGTAACTAGTTCCTCACTAACCCTTGACCCAGGGGAGGAGTGACTCTTCCGGTCCCTGCTTAGGAAGATGGAGGCAAAGAAATCGTTAAATATGCTGGCTTTGTCGTTTGGTGTGACGACCAGATTTCCAAACGTGTCCTGCAGGGGCCCCACGTTACCCGGTACCTTCTTTTTGCCCCCATGTATTTAAAAAAGGGCTTCATGTTGTCCTTAATCCGGGAAGCTAGTCCCAGTTCCATCTCTGCCTTGGCCTTCCTGACTGCCCCCCTGCATCCCTGAGCAACTGCAGTATAGTCCTCCCTGGTGATGGCCCGTCCCTTCCATTGGGTGTACGCCTCCCTTTTTGCTAGGAGACATTCCCGGATGCTTTAGGTGAGCCATGGGGGCTTATGTGCCCTCCTGCTCCCTTTGAGCCGATAATTACCATTGTCCTGTTTGAAGTTGATACCTACTTTGCACGTACTCCACTAATTGGGGGTCCCTCATAAACTCCAAATCTTTGCATAACTTGGTTTCTATCTCCATATACATCTGATATAAAAAGCCTGTTTTAGCTTCCATGTGACACTTGTTTGTTTACAAGAATTAAGAAAAGCAACAAAATCCTGATTTATATTTAATAAACCAAGTTAATTTCTGCCTTTTTCTTTCAGTAGTTGGGTTCCAAGTTTCTAGCAACCAGTCATATGGTGGTACAGTAGATCATTTACACCTGTTACATTTAAAGGTTGAAAGGGATCACATTGACTATCTGATATAAACTATCAGATATTGATATTTATGGCACTTGTATAATATGGACCAAGTAACACACACCACCTCTTGCACCGTTTGGTACACATAATAATTTCTCCACAAGAGAAGCTTGGATTGTCACAGCAAGAGTATTGCCAGCCAGCATTAGATAACCTTTTATGTAAAATGCACCTATGTTACATTTGGATGTTAAACTTATAAATTGAACTGTTTCCCAAAACAATGTTTCCACAATTAATACTAATTATGATACGATTGCACTAATAAAAATAAGCTGGTAAATACGTAGATAATTCCACCCTTCTTTGGTTTCAAGAAGCATTTAAGGACTTCATTATATGTGCTTGTTTGCATATATATAAATAAAAAAATAGAGTACACAAGACACCTGAGATCCTACAAAATGGATTTGCAGTTGTACCCAGTTGTGCTCCAGCTCTGTGGTTTTGGATCTAGACAATCATATCTGGACTCTTTAATGTCTGAGCAAAGATACTAATGTATCTTTAAACTTACTCTCTGCTGTTACTTTCTTGGAAAAGTAAGTAAAATGGCAGGGGGGGAATGCGTGCCTAGTTTCCCATTAAGTCAGTTATAATTAAAATCAGTGATGGAGGAAATGTCAGCAGGTTAATTGAGTTTGAATTTAGTGTTTGTATATCTTTGTATACAGTTACTTTTGCTAAGAATATAGTTGCCTAGTTGCAGCATAACTTGAACTGATAGTTTAGATCTATGTATTAGACTAATGATAGCATTTATAGTAACAGACATTAGAGTGGCTATAAGATGCCACCCATGCATAGGCATAACTTTCATTAGGATAAAAGGGGGGAAAAGTGGGTTGCAGACTTACTTTGCTGCTTGCTAGTCTGAAATTAACTGTTCTACAATTTTTGTTAACTTTTTTTAAAGGAGATAATCTAATAGGAGGCACTTGTTTGCTTGCTTTCTTTGCTATTTCTGACTTTTTTTAAAACTCTGCCCGTTTGTCCTCCCTTCCTTCAGAAACAAATATTGAATGTTTGTTTGTTATGTGTCCATACACAAATAAACTGTTTCCTTTCCCTTTCCAGGTTTAAAGAAAACCGTAAAGATGACATTTGGCTTGTAGATGTGAGTATGAGAGAGAAATATTGAGATTTGCGCTTCGTTGCTTTTCAATAGCTTGGTTTGACAGTAAAGCACAGCATAGTCTAGATAATGTGGTAAAGCTGCTTAGTCACTGAGGTGGCTTCTACCTACAGTGGGAAAAAGATGACATACTTATATCTATTGATAGGATGGATAAGCAATCTGTCTGCATTAGTGCAGGATGATCCAGGAATTAGCAGCAACTGTTTAAAAAGACAAGCTTTGTTCTGTGTTTACTCATTTTGGTGTTGCTTAAAACTTTTCTGTGGAAATAAAAAGTAAACTGTCTTCTTGATACTAGTATTCAAGAGGTGGTCTGTCCACATCAGTAGGTCTAAGACTCTGCTCTGTACTTGTACTTGCTTTACATTTTCATTCTTATGTTGTTGGCTGTTTATATTAAATTAATTGTTCAGGTACTTTTGTTTTACCCTGAAGTAAATTTGAAAAGATTCATTATGTTCCATATGGTATAAATCAGAGACTAGGTCAATAAATGGAGCTTGTTGTACTATGTGATGAAACTAAATTCAGGGTTGAAGTGAGGTAAATGATTATTTCCCAAGTAGCGCAGATTTATTAATATGTGAGAGAAGTAATAAATTACATGTTATATTTTCAGAATTAGTAAATCAGTAAATTATAAGAGGACAAACTCCCATTTTCTTTAGCTGGGGTTTCTGTTCCTTTGTGTACTGATCCTACTCCATTAAATTAATAGGAATTCAGCCGTCCTTTTCCATGAGTATAGGAGTCTTGGGCACGGAGGAGGACGGCAGCAAGTCCCCAAGCTCTTTCCAGTATAAAAATGTGAATATGGGATTACAAGATGCTTCTGTTCAATATTCAGTGCCTTCCTCATTCGAGGACTATTCCAGGATGGCCCACATTTGCAGGAAACGGATAAGAAAAGCAAAAGCACTGACTAAACTTAGATTAGCAACAGGAATCAAGGACAACAAGAAATTCTCCTTTAGGTACATAGGAAACAGGAGGAAAACAAAT